TTTCATCATCCACACTGATGAAATCCGGTTGTGAATCATAAAAGTCGGGTGTGTGTCTTGACAACCGTCAAACCCCAAGGCTGATTCACCGAACCCCTGGGGTTCGTTCGAACCCAAGTTAAGAAGCGTTATTCTAGACTGTATTTTGAATCTATAATAGACAGACCATATCCCTTTGTACCCCTTCCCCATCGACACCATACAAAGAAGGTCCACTGGTTACGTAACCACATCACCTAAAGTCTGAATGCAGCAAACAAGTCAATTCAACGAAAACCACATCTTTTTATTTTGTACCCGCTATCTGTTATGAAGTACTTCAAGTATCTATACATTTCAAATACAGAAAAACTGAATGATCTAATATTGCATATACAGTAGTATGAATAACAAAACAATAATACTGATATTTTTTATTTCATTTCAAGCCAAACACCTTCCATGACGTCATTTAAAAAATGAAATGGCTGTTGAAAGGTGTTTAGTTAATAATGGGAATAAAAAATATGGTCCAATGTTTTTAGAACACACGACTGAGTAAGTAGTTGTACATCATTTATCGACTCAGCACTATCTACATCTACAAAAAAAAACAAAGGTTAGAACAAAAACAAACAGAAAACCGAAACATATCTAAATAAAATATGTTAACATACAGTTGGGTTATAATGGGCGGCGCTTGACAAATGGACCAATTGCAAATGGGGGGGGGGGAGGGGGTAGATGTGGTCGGTGCTGCAGAGTTATTTTTAGAAGTAGTGGTAGGGGTGTAGTAATGGCGATGTAGTATTCTAGTATCCAGTATATATATATATATATATATATATATATATATATATATATATTCCTTTGAATGAATTAGCATACACATTTTTTCACACACTCATACATTGTAATATTGACATCATCATTATTTGGCTATTGGGTCTTAGTTCAGTAGGTCTATTGTACTCATGTCATTGGCTAGTTTTCAGAAAAAATAGGAAAAAAGAAAGTAAAAATAATTAGTTGGTGTTTCGTGTACTTGTGACTTTGGCGTTACACAACAAACAGATGTGTGTTGGTGTTTGACTTTCATTGTGACTGAGTGGTGGAACTTAGAATTTTGCTTTGGAAAACAGAGTTGTCTAACTTTGAATAAGGATCATACCTTATACATTGAATTAAAGCTGCTATTTTTTTTTTAAAGAATGAAACAACAAAGATAACTTATATCAATCCTGGAAAATCAAATCTTATAAAGCTGCGCGTCAATGATTAGTAAGTTAAGTGATTCCATTTTAATAATAGACATCACATTTATTAAATGGGAAAATTCTAAAAAAAAAAACAACTACTCTATCACATGATTGGGCACTTGCCTATAAAAAAAACAACAACTGAATCACGAAATCCGATTTTTGAAGCGTACAAACCAAAAACATAGACCAACAGACATACCATCAAGCAAGGGAAACATACACTTAATAAACACACATACATGCATACTATTTAACACACTGAATACTAAACAGATGCATATGCCCATGTTATAACACTGATTATCACACTTAATATCATATTAAAGCACACACACATACATAATTTTATAACACGCTGATTAAACTCCAACACACTGAAAAACATAAACACACATAATTACCAACACCATCACCAACACAAAATACACAGAATGTATTAAAATAATTAATAAACATAACAATACACACATAAACGAATACATGCACTTATATTTTAATACAATAATTACGTTTAGACATACAACAGATTTCAAATTGCCTCACTCAATAACAAGGATACGCGAACATAAAAAAAGGTAAATTTGTATATAGGGGAGGTAACCCTATTAGATAAATGTGCTAGTAAAAGACACAGTTACGTAGCTTTAGTTAAAGTATTCAAAAAATAAATCCTGTCAATCAAATAAGCACTTATTCTACTTTCGGATTTCAATAGCCTATAACTTGAATACTGTTTCAATTAGGTAGACGAAAATCTAATTATCCTATTTCCGTCAAAATGTGAGTGATTTCTATTTACGCTATTTTTTTATTTCTCAAAAAAAAAAGTCATAAGAATTTATTTTTAACTTGATTATCGCACCTGGGTTTAACTTAGTTTATCGCAAGTAAAGGTCGAAACATTTCGAAAATTTTATAAAAGAGTTATCTAAGAATATTCGAGTAGGTTTAGGGGAGATCACTCCCGCTTTATGTTTCATGCAACTATAAATAAAATTCACATGCTAATACTCATTCTCATTGCAAACCATTGACATCAAAATACATTCCTTCCTAATAGGCTAATTTATTAATACATCTTAAACCTTATTTCATATATATATATATATATATATATATATATATATATATATATATATATATATATATATGTATATATATATATATATATATATATATATATATATGTATGTATATATATATGTATATGTATATATATATATATATATATATATCTATATATATATATATATATATATATATATATATACATATATATATATCAGCCACATAGGTAAATAACTATTGGCGTCTGGGCAATAAAAAGACGAGACTTGAATGTGAAAGGTAGGATCGCATTAGATAACAAAGGAACAAAAAAAAACCCACATTATTAATAAAAGTATGAGAGTAAAAAACATCAAGATAACATTCGTTATTTAGTTGTGGCTAATTAATTAGCTTAAAGTTAATCAACCATTGGTCGAGCCGTTGTGCTGTTAGTTTTATCGGAGTCATAGAGTCAGAGTTAAGAGTCGAGATATAGAGATATTAGTTAGAAATGTGTAGAAGATATAGAAGAAATGTATAGTAAATCAGCCATAGGCCTATCTATAGAGGAGTCTGTGTTTTAGGAGTAACTGAAGAGTCATAAGATTTGCAACCGGAGTCAGAAAAGTGGTAAAACTGAGTTGTAAATTTGAACATATGGGCAAAGTTAGGAATATCGAGCCTGAAACGAAATAAGTGAAGCTGGTGAGTGCGTGTGTATGTGTGTAAAGTTTGTGTGTGTGTGTGCTTATGTTTGTGTTTGTAAGGTTTGTGTGTATGAAATGTGTGTATATGTGTGGGTGTAAAGTGTGTGTGTGTGAAGTGTGTGTGTGTGTGTAAAGTGTGTGTGTGTGTAAAGATGTAGAGTGTGTATGTATGAAGTATGTGAGTGTATGAAGTATGTGTGTGTGTGTAAAGTGTGTGTGTGTGAAATGCGTGTGTGTGTAACGTGTGTGTGTGTGTGTGTGTAAAGATGTAGATTGTGTGTGTATGAAGTATGTGTGTGTATGAAGTATGTGTGTGTGTGTGTGCATGTGTCTATGTGTGTAAAGTGTGTGTGTATGAAGTATGTGTGTGTATGACGTATGTGTGTGTATGTGTGAGAGAGGTTATTTGAAAGTTAAAATTTCATAACGAAACGAACATGGCAGTTTGGCACGAGGTCGGTAAAAAGATAAATAAAAACTAAAATAAAATAACAATCCGTCTGCGCATGTCTGTTGTGTATTTCCTGTCTGATCAAGCGTTGAACTAAATAAAAATTCGGAGGGAAGATAAAATCAAAGAACTTATGGAGTAAAAAGAACCACATGCCCTTTTCGAACCTGACGGTCATGGGGCAAGTGAAGTAGAGTTCACTTGTTTCTGTGATCTCGGCATATAATAAAGGGATAGTGTGGTCAGCACTATGCCAAGCCGCCTTTACTTTCCCTAACGTGAGTTTGGTACCCATTAGAGATGGGTGGACTCAGGGATGTTCTACTGATGGATTATAGTTGCCAATAAATGATTATGTAGCTGTTTGTTCTCCTTGTTGAAGTGTCTAGGGCAAGCAGCTAAACGCGTGTATGGCTATTATCAAAACAAAACAAAAAACTTTTTAGATTGATTATTTAAAGCTTACTAAACATGAAAGCTCAGACCTCCACCTCTCCACGAAAATACACACAAAACAGCAACACGACAACCTGCTTCTGGAACCGAGAAAGAGCTAAAGAAAGTACTTTTTCACGGTCAATGAGGCAGGTGAAGTAGAACGAATCTGCTTCATCCCATACATGTTGGGTAAACGCAAACGACCATTCACTTCACTATATACAAGAAGTTTTTAAAAGTTATCATTTTTATTTTTTTTCAAAATAGTAGCGTCTTGCATTAACCCTATGCGATTTGTAAATTCTTTCCAATTTTCCTCTATTTTGACTAAAATGCACTATCAAAATGTGTATTAACTAAAATATAATTGTACTTAAATGATTGGTACTCCCTACTAAGAAAGCTAACTCTTACTTTCATTAAGGGGAGACAAGTCTTAGGCTTATATTAAAAAAAGCCTTACCTCTAGGATTTATTAAAGTGCTCTTTAAACGCATGTGAGCTAATTATAGCGACTTTACCTGCACATTTCTGAATGACTCTACCTGTATGTTTCTGGTTTTGAATTTTGACAAGATTTATCTGAAATAATTGACATGTGTGTACGTAGGCATGGCATGTTAGAGAAATTAACGGGAAATTGAAGCTGAAAAGATTATTTCCCCTGCAGCTGTTGATGAAAGTGGTGTTTAAAATCGAGTGATAAGTGCTAGCAGGTTCAGAATGGTGTTTAAGTCTGGGTTAAGACTGGTGTTTAAATTTGGGTGTACCGGTGTTTAAATTGGGGTCGAAACGGGTGTTTGAATTAGGGTTTAGATTTGTGTTCAATTCATGTTAAGACTGGTGTTTCAAGTCTGGGTTAAGACTGGTGTTTAACTTTGGGTTTTGGTTTATGTTTAAGTCTTGATTTAGACATGCGTTTAAGTGTGATAAGGTTAGTGTTGAAGTTTTGATTTAGACGTGCTAGTGTGTGGTTAAGATTGTGAAGTCTTGGTTAAGGTATGTGCTAATGTGTAGATTCTAGAGCTAGAACGTGCCGACTTAGGTCCAAATCTGATGTACAGAGCTAGCCTAATCAATGCCAACAGCAACTGCCTCTATGTTGGACTCGGACTGTTAGTCGTGTCAATAGCTTTATGGTTGTGTTAACAGCCTATTAGTCGTGCCAACAGTTTGATAGTCTTGAAAAACAACATATAGTCGTGCTAACTCCCTCATAAACGTTTTAGCAGTATATTTTTCATGCCAACAGCTTATTAGTCGCGCCAACAGCCTAATAGTCGTGTTAATAGTCTAGTAGTTGTGCCAACAGCCTAACAGTTGTGTTAACAGTCGTGCCAACAGTTTAATTGTCTAATAGTTGTGTCAACAGCCTATTAGTTGTGCCAACAGCTTATTAATTGTGCCAACAGTCTATTTATCATACCAGTTGTCTGCTTGTATAACTGTCTAAATACAGTAACGTTTGACCAACTCATCATGTACTAAAATATGAAGAATTCATTACTTTCTAATCAATCTTTCGCGTCATCTGTCTTGTTCTTACTTCAGTACTTTTATATGTTACATTTTACTCTACTTATCTGGATAACGTTCACATCATTTTGAATTGACTTCAACTATTTTAATGACACTTCAAGTGAAACAATAAACTGTATTTTAACATGTTAATAGTTTCAAAAAAGAAAAAAAAATATTTCAAAATAGTACAAGATATTTTAACGAAACAACTTTCCTTGAAACATCTACATAATAATATGTACACATATTGTACATTAAAATTTAAACAATTCTATATACATCTAGACGCCTACTTGTAAACATTTGAAACCACACTCATGCATTAAAAGCAACCACACTCGCACATAAATCTGGTTGTAAATGTTATAAGCAATCAATTATGTAAGTTAATTGCCAATTACATAGATAAGTATTGCCACGCCAGCTATGTACCAGCTATGTTATAAAACATTTGTTATATGTACATTGATATGGATATACATGGTAGCGATCCTAACAGTGTTAAGAATCATAAATTCACATATAAATGGATCACATAAACAACTTATGTTGCTAAAAATATATGGTTAAATTATCACACATGCGCACTGATTAAATAGTCCTGCGTTGCTGGCTGGGCGATACCATGCTCACAGGGGTGTCAGTGTACGACAATGGACTCTTCTGAAAATTGATGTGTTAGTAGTATTGTAATATTGGGTTTAGTGTTAAGGCTAAACTTGAGTTTGTGTTAGAACTTTGGTTAGTTTTTAGGCTATGGGAATGGCTAATGTCTTCAGTAGCGATATTAGTTTGTAGTTCAGTACCTGTAATTTAACAGCACCCCTTTTCATGTAGCATTATCAAATACTCTGACGTTAACAGGGAGTCTTGACTAAATATACTTCCAATATGTAGTGAATGTGTATCTGTGATTGTGTGTGTACGGGGGGAGGGGGGTATATTGTCAAGTTAATACTGTGTGGCACCTGGGAATTAGAGGGCTGCTACCCCTCTCTACGGACCCTGTTTTGGGCGGCTCTCTTTAGTTCAGCCCACGAAAACCCCACATCCCTTGCTTCCCCTTCCACGGCCCTTCTCCAAAACTGTTAACGCTATATCGCTAGTTGAAATAAGAATTTAAGAATATAAAAATAGAATAAAAATTTAGTTTAAGTTTAGGAGCCAGAAGACTCTATATGTTGGTTTTCACACCTTTTTAAATTTACTTCTTAATTCAAACTTTTATACAGCTATTCGCCTTATAAACATACCTAAAACCACCACCATTACTCTTCTTTGCAGCTGATCAGTAATATCTTATGTAAGGGTCGCTACTGCTACTAACTGTAAATCTACTGTTTGCACGCTCTCAATGAATCTTACATAGGAGAAGGTTATTTGATTTTATATTGCATGACATATCAAAGTTGAAATAAATAATGCAATTAAAGTAATAATTATTGCAAAATAAAGATATTTTTTAAACAATGTAAAAAGATGGATTAGTATGGCTGACGTTTTATGCAACAAATAATACATGGCAAGAACAGGATTATTTAAAATAAAATTTAAATCTCTAAAACAAAACTCTAATGTTATGATGACATTTTTTTTGCACGTTCTTGGTCAGTTGTTCGTTGTTTGGTGAGTGCCTGACCACGTGCCGGGTTGTCTGTGAGTTCCGGGAGGTCAAGGTCAGTGCCGGAGGGATGTGGAGGAGCGGCTAGAGTCGGTCAAGGTCACGCGTCATCAGCCCGTGTGAGGTTGTCCTTCCGTGTGACGTAGCTGTTCTGTGGGTGACGTTGTGCCATGGCTGACTGGCGAACTGGGTCACGAGATAAAAATAGACATGAGGGTTGAGTTGTTGTGGTGTGGAGAGATGTGGGTGTGTGGGGAGAGATTTGGAGAGAGTATTGTATATGGGAGGGATTCGTGTTGCGTGTGAACGTTTATTGTGTGTGAGTATTGAGATTTGTGGGAGGGATTATTGTGTGTGAGAGGGATGTGGTTGTTTGGGAGGGAGCAGTGTGCGTGGGAATAATTGTGTGTGGGAGTGAGTCTTGTGTGTGGGAGGGATTATTGTGTGTAAGAGATATTATAGTGTGTGAGAGGGATTAGGGTGTGTGGGAGGGATTAAGGTGTGTGGGAGGGATTATCGTGTGTGGGAGGGATTATTGTGTGTGGGAGGGATTATTGTGTATGGGATTAATTTCAATACTTGAGAGGGATTTGTGTAGTGTGAGGGATTTAGGTAAGTTAGTTGGAATTGTGCGACTGTAAATAGTTTGTGTTGAGTGTGAGAGACTTGGGCGAGTGGTTGGGATAAGAGTAAGTGTGGGGGATTTGAGAGGTTGGAGGGGGGGTTGAAGGAATTTGAGTGGGCGGGATTAAGATTAGCGGCCGAATGGAAATGTCTTGGCTTTCAGTTTTCTTTAGCATGCGCTCTGTGGACAAACTTGACATCTATACAAGTATTAAAAGAAACATCAGAACTTCCTGATAAATTACACTATTTTACTCGAATCAATAAAAAAAATCTTAATATCATCTCTTCTTGACCGAAACTTACCAAAGAAAAAAAACCCAGTTATTACCGCCCTTTGTCTTGATCTCTATGATCAGAACACTGGGCATCTCTTTCTCTAAGTGATTCCCACACCTTTTTGTTCATTTTTTATTGCACCATAAAAATGTAGCTTAACTCTTTACCCTTCTCCACTAAATTGATAGTTTTTTTTTCTATCTGCTTCTGTTAACTGTGTACATTAGAACGACACAGAGACAAAAGCCTCTTCATCAATACTAAGTCAGCTGCTCAAGTAGTGCGAAGGTTAACAGGCGGGCTTAGCCGTAAGATTCTCTACGTCGATAACTTACTGACTTAACTTTTTAAACTTTCTATGTGAGAAATATAGCATAAATAAACAACGCAATAGGCGATAACTTTGGGTAAAATTAAGGGTAACATAGGCTCACTCTAAAATATAAACATAATTCAAGTCAATACATAAATACACAGTCACACACACACATAAATACACACATAAACTCTCATAACCACTCACGTATATAAGCTGCCCCCTTCGCAACACACACACACACACAAACTCACATAAACACGCACATACATACGTAAGACATCCATACGCACATTAAAATACCTACTCACACATACAAGCAATTACACCATGACCTATCCACACCTCCCCCACACTTCCCCCACACACTGCCACACTTATCCGATGAACTGCCGTAAGAAACACACGTGAGACAACAAACCAAAGAGTGAGCAAATATACCGAAGAGTGAGTCAGCTTAATGAACGCAAGGTTTCGATCTCACACCGTCCACAGCTGCACATAAATCGATTTGTTTACAACAGCTGCACCCTCGGGGAGAGGCAGTAAGGAGGATCGATCCCCAGGGGGGGGGGAGGAAATCTATTCTTCTATAAGATCAGCAACTGGTTTAGCGCGATACTTAGGTTTGACGTATTGATAGAACACATGTTGATGTAAAGTTGGGCTGCGTATTGATAGAACAGTTACAGTAGGGCTACGTATTGATAGAACACATGTTGATGTAAAGTTGGGCTACGTATTGATAGAACAGTTACAGTAGGGCTACGTATTGATAGAACACATGTTGATGTAAAGTTGGGCTACGTATTGATAGAACAGTTACAGTAGGGTTACGTATTGATAGAACAGTTACAGTAGGGCTACGTATTGATAGAGCACATGTTGATGTAAAGTTGGGCTATTGACAGATCTTGGGACAAAGGTTAGACCAGTCTATTGCGAGGTTTGAATAGCGTTTGTTCTATTGGGAGGTTGCGTAGGATTTGTTATATTGAGAGGTTGCGTTAAATTTGTACTATTGAGAGGTTGCGTTAAGTAGGTTGCGTTAAATTTGTACTATTGAGAGGTTGCGTTAAGTAGGTTGCGTTAAATTTGTACTATTGAGAGGTTGCGTTAAGTAGGTTGCGTTGAATTTGTACTATTGGGAGGTTATATATTAATATTTTTATTGTGAAGTTGTTTAAAGTTAGTTTTACGGGGAGGTTGTGTCGAGTTGTTCTATTCTGAGGTTTGTATAGAATTTGTCTATCGGAAGTTTGTGGAGTATTAGTTCTATTGGGAGGTTTGGTAGCCTTTATTCCAGGGGTCTCCAAACTACGGCCCGCGGGCCGGATGCGGCCCCTGGAAGTCCTCTCATCCGGCCCGCGGAGATCTTTTTGTCCAAAGAAAAATCGTTTGTTGGTGATGGCTGAGGAAATTTGCCCAGAAAAATCAAAGACATGTCTGGAAGAAACTGGCCCCCGAACTGAAATTTGATAGTTAATGTAGTCCCTAGGACTGAAAAGTTTGGAGACCCCTGCTTTATTCTATTGGGAGGTTTGGTAGCTTTTTTTCTATTGGGAAGTTTGGTAGCCTTTATTCTATTGTGATGTTTGGTAGCCTTTATTCTATTGGGAGGCTTGGTAGCCTTTATTCTATTGGGATGTTGGGTAGCTTTTTTTTTATTGGGATGTTGGGTAGCTTTTGTTCTATTTAGAGATGTCCTCCGTCTAGCCACGTTGCACTGGTCTTATAGTGAAGTTCTGTTCGCCTGAAACTCTAGCATTTCGTACATACGGTTTTCAGCTTTACTGAAATCCCGTGTGACCCTACATAACAGTATAACAATTTTTCCATTATATTCACTCAGCTGATTTACAAAAACACAAGTAATGATTGTTTCCCTTTAAGAAATAGTCTGCGTTTAGACTTAAAAAAAAACAAATTACCATTGTGGAATATATCAATATCTTTGCACTCAGCTGATTATTAACACACGACAAATGATCGCATCTGTTAAGGATTTATTTTTACCTTGCCTGCTTGATAAGAAAAGATAATGCCTCTATTTCTGTCGATATTTTCGCACTTAGCTTCTTTGATAAGAATGTACAACAAGAGAGTAGTTTAGAGATTAATGGTTCCAATAAGTAGGTAGGAATGTGGAAGTCTAGAATTTCCATGGCAGTGAGATGAAAAAAAATGTGATAATAGCATCTGTTGGGTTTCCTTTGTGTATAATTTACTGTCGTAGATTGCTATTGTAGTTTAATGTTTTTGTTTTTAATTACGCTTGCAGTTCGTAAACTACAGAAAAAGGTATGGCATATGATTAAGGCTGAGGGTGTTTTAGTGGCATATGATTGGGTCTGTTATAGTATGGCATTGATTGGGTCTGTTATAGTATGGCATTGATTGGGTCTTATGGTGTCTGTTATAGTGTAGTATATGATTGGATCTATGCTTGTCTGTTATAATGTGGTACAGAGGCGTAGCGACCCTCCCCGGGGACAAACTTTTCGATTTGCACCCCCTCCCCCCTCAAGATTTCAATTTGCACCCCCCTCAAACTTTCGATTTACACCCCCCTAAACCTTTCAATTTATTTTTCCAACCCATTTTTGCGCCCCCTAAGGTCGTCGCCCGAGGACATGCCCCCCCTCCCGCCCCGCCCCCTTCTCGCTACGCTACTGGTGTGGTATATTATGTGGTCTCAGGGTTTTTGTAATGTAAATAGGCAACTAGACGATTTAAGACTTTCGAAATACATTTTTTTATGAATTCATATTTTATCGTACTAAAAAGAAGTTTACATGAGCTGCTGGCAAAATATCAAAATATTCGGGTCAACTAAACCTATGTTTTGAAAATCGCGCCGTATTTACGCGGTGTTGACTGTTAAAAAGTCAGAGTTTTCGCAAATGAACCGAACCTTTATCTAGATTTTGAAGCAGTTAAAATCAAACGGATGTTCTTTAAGGTGGCAAAAGTTGTAGCACTTCCAATATCCCATTAATCGATCTTCACAAATCGAAGTGACAGTAACGATCTTTTTTTGCTCTTAAAGACGCGCTAAAAGCCGGGCTAATGTTATGGTTAGTGTTTGTATTCAGTGCCGGCGCCAGGTTATTTAGCGCCCTATGCAAAATTATTAAAAGCGCCCCCCCCCCCGCATTTTTCGTGCCCCCGTATTATCATAGGCGTAGCGACCCTTCCCGGCGCCCGGGGACTAACTTTTAATTTGCACCCCCCCCCCTCAAACTTTCGATTTGCAACCCCCCTCAAACTTTCAATTTGTTTTTCCAACCCATTTTGGCGCCCCACTACGGACAGCGCCCTAGGCGACCGCCTAGTTCGCCTTATAGGTAGCGCCGGTCCTGTTTATTAGACCGGATTTAAAAAGGAAATGTTTAAATAACAAGCGTTGAATATGTTTCTATGTCATAGCTGTGCTGTAAGACTCCAATTTTCGTTATTTTTTTTCTTTAATAGTAATGAAGGATTGTAAATTAAAAAAAAAAGTAAAAACTTTTTTCAGACCGATCTATGCATCAAGCAGGGGTAGTAGAGTGTACCTGTATCAGTGTCCGTTGTAGCGGATGAATTGGTAATGCATGTGTAGCTCCAAACAATTATTTTACCCAAAAGTTGTGAGGTGTCGTTTGGTGGGGGGGGGGGGGGGCACAGATGATTACTCGAATAGTAAGGGAACTAAGTTGTGAGATGTCATTTTAGAAGAGTGTGTGTGTGGTGGGGGGGGGGGGGGGCAGATGAATACTCGAATCGTGAGTGAACTACAATCTTCTGAGTATTGACGGCCATACTGTTGGGCCTCTAAACTTCTTCCTTCTCCCGTTCCCCCCCCCCCCCCCCCCGTCCCCGTCCCCGTCCCCCAACCACGCCACAAAAGTTGAATTATTGACGAAAAAAATTTGGAAAGCTTGTAGAGCATTATTGTTGAACAATCAAAACAAGTACATTTAGT